ACACACACACACACACACACACATCTATAGAAAAATACCACTAGTTTGGAAAAAAAACAGTCTGAATTCATGAAAATCAAAAGGATAAATTGCTTTAAAAATCCTTGAGAAACAAGTTGGCACCGTGTTTATCCTCGTAGAAATCAAATCATACTCCCAAACCACAGTGAGTCGCGGCTCCTTCAGGGGACACTGGAGGATCACCCAGTCTGGTGAAATTCTTTCTGTGATTGCAGATCTCATCGGCATGAAACAGTACCTCCTCTGACAAAATGCCTGCAAACAGGCTTGGCATGATAGACTATTTTAAATAATAACAGGAAATTTTTATGTGGTAACAATGCATCAATGTTAGTAAATACTTGTTTTAATTTGCTCTTCTAAATGGTCTAAATCCTCTCCTTATGTACATCTTTACTTGATTCATTTACTGAGAAAAACTTTTTTTCAAAATAGTGAAGAAACTGCTGCCTAATTCCATTGGCTTATTGACAGACCTAATTTATTGGGTCATCGGGAAAATCATGACGTATTTTTCTATGTTTTTCAATGCAAAAATGAATCATAACTTTTCTGACGACCCAAAACTTCTTTTAAGAAAAAGATTTTTGTTAAAATATAACTAACATACAATACTATGTGACTTTCAGGGGTACACCATAGTTGTTCAACATTTATATACCTAAAGAAGTGATCACCATGATAAGTCTAGAAACCATCTCGTACCATATAATCCTAAAACAATATCATTGACCATATTCCCAATGCTGTGCATTACATCCCCATGACTTATTTGCTTTATACCTAGAAATTTGAACCTCTATTCCCCTTCACCTTTCCTCCCTTTTTAATTTTTCAATTACAGTTGACATTCAATATTATTTGATATTAATTTAAGGTGTACAGCAGAGTGTTTTGTTTTCCCTTGTTATACTGCAGGCAACATCTTCAAAGCCTGTTCCTATGCTTATCATGGACTCAAAAGGAAGCATACCTTTTAACCAGGGAAAAACTGCCTGCTTATAATCTATGAGACATAAACAGTAAATCTTTAAGGGGACAGGCCATTAGACTTTTCCGTGGCAAGAAAGAGAATGTCAATAGACCACTGAACAGCTGTTATTCTTTGACAGACTACCATGACCCTCAAGCCCCTTATATATTTTACTTTTAATTACAACAACCATGAAAGGCAGACTCTGAGACAGGCTCAAGTTAACTGGTGCAAGGTCACCCTGAAAGGTCGAGGGGCTAGGATTTGAAATTAGGATCCTCAAATTAGTGTTCTATATTTTTAATTCTTCCATTATGTTCCAATTATAGAGCAGCTGTTCTTGTTGTGGTACCTCAGGGCTGAGTTTGTTGCATTTTTATTTTTATTAAAAAAGAATATCTCTGAACAGCTACTTGACATGGGTCCACTGAAATTTACTCAATCTTCTTGCTGTTTGTAGCCAGGCTGTTTTTTATATAAATTAGGGAGAAAATAGAAGATTTTTCCATTGATTTAGTGTGATTTTAGACCCTATGTCTAACTTTAGACCTCTTTCCATTCTTTGGAGATGGTGGTTCTCCAACTTGGAAACCAATACAAATCAAATCCTGATCACAGTTAATAGTGGGGAGCATCAGCTGGGTGTCACTGTTACTTACTGGGTGATCAAGGGTATGAAGTATACATCCTAGGAGAGTAGTTGCCAACCTGAGACACCGCCCCAAATTAGGAGGTACCAGAAATTGATACAAAGTGACAGCAAAAGAAAGACTCATAGACCCTGGGAGGGACCATGCACCAAGTATGCTCATGGACATATCAAGTTTTAGCTCAGGTTGGTTTCTCTTCAGAGGAGGGACTCTTCCCACTTTTACACCTGTAGTTACCATTTTTCAAATTGCCACTTGAGTTTTATCTCCTGCATGGAGCCCTTGGGGATCTTCCTGGATTCATTCCTCCTTCCCCTTTCTGAAGTCCTATAGCGTTTGCACCTGGCTCACACAATCTTGTTCTTTATTATATGCTCTTTTATAATATATGCTTGCTGGACTCATTCCTCCAACTGGATTTTAAGCTCCTTAAGGACAGCGACTCATAAATGTAAATAGAACACTAGAGACACACTAGAACTTTGAGAAATCCTTGTCAAATGATTCCCTGATGTTTGTACACTTTGGGTGGGAAATCATGGAATTTTAAGATATTTATCGAAAAGAAGACAACTTATCATGAAAAGTTCTTTAAAGCACTGAAGTTGCTAGCTGTGTTTTCAAAAGGACAAACTTCTTTTCGATATTTTCCTTAAAATAGCACCATATTAGTGATTTTCTTGGCTACTGCTAGAGCTTGGGGAAGAACAGGGAGGCCCGTTAAGACGACGGGGATTGGATATATTTAAATATGCTGGTAAGAGAGGACTTTGGCTGTTTGACCATTCTCTATAGCCATGGAGCTCAGCAAAGTTTACCATTTGTATAGGAATCTTTTAGTTCTTGGATGGAAAAATCTCTTTCCTGTAAAACTTCATGGAATTTCTGCTCCTGGCAGGAACAACAGTTATTCGTTGTGGATCTTGAAAACTTGTGACACGGTTGTCCAAATGGGCACCAAATAAAGCAAGAAAAGAAAAGGCTCAACTACATATTTTAAACTTATTTTTGGTTCCAGGTGATGAACTGGGCAGGGTGCAACTGGCACTGACAAGCCTAACCCTTTACTCAGACACAAGGGATCATTTTTGATCTGAAAACCTTGTTGTCCAAATCAGCTGCCCAAGGAACAAATGCAAGTCCAAGACGTTACTGCATATTCTGGATGACCACACATCCCACCTGCATCTCTATTTTGCCCAGCAATGGCTTCAGTCTTTTTAATCTGAGTTTCTGTGTAGGGCCCTGTTGAGAATTGGAGTTTTATTTTTGACAATAGGCCTTCTCTGGATGATTTTGGTCATCCTTTCTGTCCCCTTTGATTACCAGGGTGACAAACATGCATTCCTAAGGATACATCTTATCTCAGAGGAGTTCTTTTGTTAGAATAACTCTCTGGGAAGAATCTCCAGTTAGTTCAATAATTTTGCCTAAGCTTCCACTATAATATCAGCTAACAATTTATTGAGTGCTTATTACCTGCCAGGCCTTCTGCCAAGCACTTTACATACATCATGTTATTTAATATTCAGAACACTGCTAAGAGATATAAAGTATTATTATTTGAACTTTACAGATTAGAAAATTGAGGCACAAAGGGGCTACATAACTTGGTCAAGGCCACACAACTAGTCAACAGCAAAACTGACCCCCCAGTTTTTCCCCTCAACCCCAAATCTTCTCCTCCTTCCATCTTCCTCCTGTCAGCGGAAGGCAACTCCATCCTTTCAGTTACTTAGGCCCAAACCCTTGTGGCCATTCTTGATTCCTCTCCTCTCAAGCCCTCCATCCAAAGCTTCAGAAATTCTATTAGCTTTGTATTCAAAATATATCTGATGCTGACCACTTCTCTCGTTTCCCTTGCTCTCTCCTAAGTCAACCCACCATCATCTTTGGCCTAAAAATTGCCAGAGCCCCCCTAACTAGTCACAATCCTTCCATCTTTGTTTTCTCACAGGCTGTTCCAGCCACGAGAAGGATGGTTCAAATACAAATCAGATGATGTCCCACCTCTGTGCAAAAGCCAAAGTTCTTATAAGACTTTCCCCTCCCCTCCCAATCCCTGTTACCTCACTGCCACTGTTCCTCTCATTCAGTCTCTTCCAGCGACTGACCATCAGGCTTCTCTGAACATACCACGTGTCTGGTCTTGGGGTCTAAGCACAGTGGTGTTCTGTCTCCAGTATCCTCACAGTCAATTTCAAAGTCTCTACTCAAATGTTACCTTTTCAATGTACCTCCATCTACATTGCACTCACTCAAGTATTACCAAATCCTCTTACTCTACTCTGTTTTTTAAATAGAATATGTATCTTTTATCATAGTGTGTAATTCATTTGTTATGTTTATTGTTTGCCTGCCCTCTCTCCCCTTCCCCTCCCTACTAGACAGAGATTTGTGTCAGTTGTGTTCTCTGATGTATCCCAAGCACCCAGTGCCCAGCACATTGTGTGTGATCAATATTTGTTGAATAAATGAATGAATGGACCTGGATCTCAAATCTTAAGGTGGTCATGACTTTGTTGTAGAAACATAGCATTCTCACGTGAAAAGGGGAATAATGCAGATGTTATGAGGTGGTGTTGATCAAGGGGTCAGTTGAACAGGAAACTTAGTGACATGCACTCAGATGAAGGACACATAAGGTATAAGTGAAGGCTAGAATGAGTTGGGAAGATATTGAGAGACTTTACTGGGAGTTCTTTTCTCATTGCTATGTTAGTAAGGACACTGTTTCTTTTTGGCTTAGAGACTTAAATTTGCAGTCCTGTTTCTGCCATACCACTCAGGTTTGGTTCTGAGATGTTTCCCCTTTTTATTTCCCTGCCCTTGCGGCCTCAAGGTCAGTGCTGTTTCTCTGGTATGGTCAGACAAAATGAGAAATGCAGGCCCACATTGTTGGATCCTTCAAAGCAGAGAGGAATCTGGAATGGAGCTGTTAGATTTTGGGTATTTTAATCATTTCCTGCAGGCTGGCAGAGTCCAAAAGGGTCAATTTCTAAAAGAACCAGGCAGGGTACATTTGAAGAAACTGCACTGCTTGTGAATACAGTTTTCATATTTGGTCTCCAGATTTGACGTTGCATTGATGGATGCTTGAGACATACACATCTCTCAGTGGTGACACTTCTCTGTGACTTCTCTTTTTGCTCAAGTAAAATTTTTCTATTGTCTGTACCCATTGCACTGGCTTACTCTGCTTACAAGAAAACTGGTTTGTTCCTAACCAGTTTGAACATCCTTAACCAGGATGAAAAGTGCATGGAAGGGATGGAGTAGGGAAAGTTGGTAGGGTGTGTTTTCCATCATGAGTCCTGGCTCCCCCTTACTTAGGAGATAACTCATTTTTAACTTGTTGGCTTCAGTGCTGCCTGCTCTCTCTTGTCCACCTATGATGGTGTTAAAGACACAAACCCCAATGACTTAGGGGTTCTAACAACATGTCCTCCAAAATCTGGCCAAGAAGTGACCATCGTCATCTGCCTAAGCTGAACACATTTGTCTCTAAGAATGAGTTAATGGAAAAAGTGCATTTGCCTATAGAATCTGAATATCCAGACAAAGGTTATTTTGGAAATGCTCGTGTCAGGGGCTGAGGTCTGTATACAAGCTAACCAAGCCCTGACTGCCCTCTGGAGGGCTGAGCTCTGAGATGCTGATGGTGGGAAGCAACCACACAGGCTGAAACATTCCCAACCATAGCCTTGGAACTGCCAACGCTAGGGCCCATTCCAGAGCCTGTGTTTCAATTGGTCTGGCATGAGGCTATGGCATCATATTTTTTAAAAGCTCTCCAGGTGATTTTATGTGTAGCCAGAAACAAAAACTACTTGATAGAATGATCAAGAGAAGGGGTATCTGAGGAGCTGGCAGGAAGGGTGCAGTCCCTACTCCTGCCTCCGAACCCCTATGGCATATGACCTCTTTCCCCCTCTTTCCCACTTCATCAGTTTTCCATTTTCTCCTGGATTATTTCCACCATCATCTAAATAAGTTTCAATTCTCCCATTCCAAGTAAAAGACTCTCTTTATACTCCAATCTTCCTTCAGTTACTACCCCATTTTTCTTGCTCCCCTTTAGAGAAAAACTCCCTCAGATGTGTTTTCTGTATATGCTGTCCAATTTCTTTCTGTGCATTTTCTCATAAACCCACTCCATCGAGGCATCCCCGCTCACTACTGCACAGACACTGGCCTGTCTTACCATCTGGCCATGACAATGTGTCCAGGTATCACCCTCAGTCACAGAAATGAGGAACCCGAACACAGGCATTCCTGATACACTCTGGGGTGCAGCACACCCCAGACCCGACTCATGATCGGCCTTGCAGTGCCGGGCTCAAAGCTCGGTGAACAGAATTCCGAACCAGAACACTTTCCAAGGAAATGAGAATGATAAGGAAGCTTTCGGTAAAAGGGAAGGTGGTGACTTACACAGTGTGTGGTGGTGATGATGACAGAGCTGGAGATGAAAGAGAGGCCATCGTTCATGCTGACCTGGAGTGCGGCTTTCCTGCAATGACAAGCAAACCAGAGACACTCAGCATGGTGTGCAAGGAACAAGGGGCTGAGAGCCAGACACAAAGGTGCCCTGTTGGCTCTGCTCTTAACTACCCTTGGGACTGTAGTCTGAGGGCTGGAGCTGTCTGTTTTGTAAATGTGGAGCATGGTCTGTAGGGCCCCTCCGTCTCTGATGCTCTAGGGAGATGTCAAGATTTGCTTGACTGGTGTATCAAGGCAGCGCATTCAGCCCTTCTTGTACTGCAGCAAATTGCACTGAATGGGCAAAGCCTGCTTCCATTTAACTTACTTGTCACATTGTAGTAGGACAACGTTTTCTTTAAAAACGGTCCACGTCAGTGGGGCTACACTGATCAAGCTATCAACTCAATGTTCTGTGGTCGTTATCTGGATTCTCAGTGATCCGATTCTGGCAGGGGCGGCTTTGTTACTATCCAGTAAACTAATCGAAGTGCAGCAATGGATGAAGTAACTTGCCTTTTGCCTCCTACCTTCTAATATGAGACTCACTGAAACACAAGCTTGCATTTTGCTTGCATTTTGCAGTCTGGGCACAGGCTGTGGAATCAGTAGAATTGCAGGCGGATGTTAGGCAACTAGAGTTGGAGGCTTTACAATTTGAACAAATGATTGAAAGCAGAATTCGGATGAATAAGTTTAGCATTTTTTCCTTAAAGCCACCCTTCTAACTTCAGCCTGCCATAGACATGTTTACAGAGAAGCTAGTTGTGTTCTGTCACAATCATTGCTTCTCTTTTTTTGCTCAGGGTGTTAATTTTCCTTTTAAATATTTTGGTCACATCACACTAGCACTTATTATAATTGCACCACCATGAGATTTCCCCCATGAATTAGTTCAGGGAACCTTGTGCAGTCTGGGTAGATACTGGTTACTCTGCAGATGCGTTGAGGACGGAGCGTTGAGCTTGGCCTTAGAGGTCTGAACCCAGGACCTTGAAACAGCTGTGGACTCACTTAGCCTTTCTGAGCTTCCCTACCTCTAAGGAGGAGCTAATCATCCAGCAGGCCAATTATGACAGGGCACGGTAATGTGTGTGAGAGTGAAATGTGATTGTGATTAAGCCAGACAAACCTTGGTTTGAGCCCCAAACTCTCCATTTACTGCTGTGTGACCTTGGGCAAGTTACTTAAATTCTCTCAGCCACAGATTCTACATCTGTAAAATTAGGATGTTGTGAGTATCTGGTTTGTTGGGAACTTGGGAGGAATAAGTGACACCCTTTATAAAGTATTTATCCTGGTGCCTGGCTCATTGTAAGCATTGACCCATCATCATTACCTGGAGAAGTCTAGAAAAAGGCTCCACTATGACAACAAAGAGAGACACTTCTTGCTTTTCCCTTTGTCCCCCTCTACCTCCTCTCTCTTCTGTGGCTGTGAGATTCACTGCGGGTGGAAACTTACATGCCAACTTCTTTTAAGATAGGCGCTGGGCACAGCAAATAAGTGTCTTCCACAGCAAAGGGCTTCTCATCTGTAAAAAGGAAGTCACTGGATTAAGAGGAGTAAAGCAACTTTACAATGTCAAATTCAGTGACTCCAAGAGACTATCGATCAAGTCCTGGGAGACACTAGAAAAGCAATAACTCTGAAATAGAAACTCGTCTTGAGCTATAAAAGTCACTCGAGTCGAGCTCTCCTGATTGAATATGAGTCCCTGACCCCATACACCCAGTTGAGTCCATTGGTGAGCAAACAGAGTCTGAGCTCTTACCATAGACCAGGCATAATTGAGGGGAAATAAGAAAATATTAAACTGGTTCTCAGGAAGCTTCAGGTCTAAATCTAGTTTGCTAGAGAAGTCATAGTCATGGAAAAAGTTTTCTGACAAACACATGAAGTGGCTAAGCCAAAATATTGTTTGGCTTCAGAGGACAAAGAGCTCCCTTGAGGTGGGTGACATGGTGAGGTCACAGGGAACACAACACTTCAGCTGTGCTTCAGGAGAGAGGTGGGGAAGAGGCATTCATGGTGGCAGGAATGACACGAGCAAAGACAGGGCAAGCCAAAGGTATGTGCCAGGGTAAGATGTTATGTAGGATTTGCAAAGATCAGTAGAGGAAGAAGTTTGGTCCAAGCTCTTTGAGTTAGACTCAGAGATTTGGATATAGATCTATCAGCTCTGGAAACAACTTGGGAGGTTTTTGGAGAAAAATTTAAATGAGTTTTGGATGAATTTTGGACGCTTTAGCAGATGTAGCTATGAAAGATGGATTAGAGTGAGGGGGACCCTGGAGGTGGGAAAGTTCTTGCTCGTATCCTGGGAGAAAGAGACTGGGAAAAGCTTAAGCAGATTTAATCAAGAATTCCTTAAGAATGTCATTGTGTTCCAGGTTCTGGGGCTAGAAGCAGTGCTGAAGAGTTACTATACTCATTATATATAATAGTAGTCATTCCTTCATACATATAGGGAGTATATGAATGTTATACTATATATACACTATATAGTACACACAAAAACACACACTATATTCCAATATTCACTGGGTACATATTCTGTACAAAAGACTGTGGTAGGACCTGTAGGTGACACAAAGATGAATAATTCATGTCTTTTAATCAAGCTGTGAATACAAATACTTACACCAGGAGAGAAAGAATACATATACAATTGAAGGACAATATCCTGCTATTGGCATTTGTTGTGAAACTGTTGTCTCTCATGATATTTGAATGTGGTTGACACTAAACACTTGCCCAAGTAGAGATTAGGAAGCCCCGTGCCCTCGTGCCTGAATTTGAGGAGCAGAGCTACCCGGGGTGGAGTTAGATATGGACATGTGAGTGCTGAGCTCTATGTTCCCATGGAAGGAGGAGGAAGAGGGTGGTCAATGACAGTCTCCCCTGATGTCTAGGGAAATTTTCAAGTGATAAAATGTTAGGGAGGTTATTCTACATCATTCACTCATTCAGTCATTCAACAAATATTTATTGAAGGTCTATGCTGTGCTAGAGACACAGGCTCTGAGAAGGGAAACACAGCCTCTGTTTTTATGGATTTTT